CCTTCACGTCAGCATATTCCACTGTTCACTGACAGCTTAAAGGGAAAACGGCTTTCAAAACGCACCACCCTGGATGATTCCATGATTCAAAAGACAGATCGCTGTATTAGAACATTCCCTTTGGTCTGTATGAGAAATGACACATCGTGCACGTCGTGCGAACACGCCGCGTAATCCGTGTAATTTTTATACACCTGTGAACGATATATAATCCTATCTGTCCAATGCGAGCTCTGGCGTTACTCCAATATCCTTAAGCTTCGTCCAATTCCCAAACGATCGTAACTTACGATCAAATATCTCCGCTTTCTTCGATATTACTTTGCGATGAAATATCATTTCTAATAATTCCCCCTCCCTCTTCCTTTACACAATCAGAAAATGTGGTGTGGTGGATTAAAAAAATCTTTTGTGATTATTATTTTAATCGCACATTTTAAATGTATTTTTTTAATGTCATATATTTAAAAAAGAAATATAATTTTAGAATGTATAATAGTATTTACACAAATGAGAATGATTAATAAATAATAAATTGTAAATCACACATTGTAGTCCATCGATAATGTGAGATATATTTCAATAAGTGCTTTGCATTATTAAAATAAATTTAAAATAATTTTTATTCTTTCCATTGTCTTTGCATCGTTTCATAATGATAACGCTTATTTTCGAGTTTAATTAATTAAGAGATTCTTATTGTTTATATTACGTCGCCTGAAAAAGACGTTGTTTCCTTATATATACCGATTATTGCGAAGAATATTACTAAGGTCTCGGTAGTCTAATGGCTTAGGACACCTCGTATGAAATACAAGAGATCCGGATTCGACTCTAACCAAGGTAATATTTTTCGCAATAAATTCATTTACAGTTTTTCAGCACATTAACATCTTGCTAATATGATGCCTGATTGTGCATAAAAAATTATTAAGAATTGCTTGCGCAGTTTGAAGGACCACAAATATGGTATATATGCAAGTACATATATAGTATGTATATAATTGAATTATTTAAAGATCTAGCTTCGACTGGTATAGGTCTCTAGTTTATCGATTATGTTAATTAATTACTTTTCTGATAATTTAATTCAAATAAATCGATATGATTATATTGGTTATACTTTCAAATAAACTGATATGATTTATTTATAAGTGAATATAAGAGAGAGAGAGAGAAGAAAAAAAAGAACCGAGGAAAGAGCTATGCTTTATTATTACATATCTATTTCTATCAGTTACTGAATTTTTAATATTTTTATTAAAAATGCAAAGGAGGTTAGTCTTATTTATATAAAATTTGTTATGAAGATGTCTAGATACATGTAGAATTATTTATTTTATGAAATTTTAATAAACATGATTTAAACGTCTTACTGAAATTCATGGCTGTATGAATATTTTTTACACCTACTGTAATTTTGTTTCTTTATATTAATCGCTTTATCTGTTTGATACAACGGTCCGTTGATACATTGGATGCTCATATTTTCGTAGTATGTATAACATTAAGATAACAGCAAAAGAAATGTAAATTGATTTGTGAATACTGCGTTTCAGACTTATGATTCATGAACGTTCGTTATGTCTCTTTGAAGACGAAGGCCGACTGTAATAAGAAGCCGTAATTTCCGAGTCTTGATCAGGAAATTATCTATGCTCAGTTACGATACGTAAAAATATTAAATATCATCAATGTTAGTAAATATCATTACTGTTTTAGTTACTAGACGTCAAGTATTAATTGATCATAATTTTAACATTATTGATGATATGGAGCATAAAATACGATAAATATATTAAAAAATCCAATTAACGTTTAGCTTTACTTATGACAGTATTTATAATGTAGGTATGAGATGAAAAAAATATTTGCAAATATTGGCGAAAGCAGAAAAAGACTTCAATTTGATATAATAATACAAAATATAAATAATATGGTTTTCATACAAAATAAAGAAATACGTATCCTTTAATTTTAAGAGAGTTTGCTCTCTAAAAAGTTTTTTCATTAAATTTTATGGAAACACATATTGCAATTATTTTGTCAAATAAAATAGTATTATAGATACTTACACATATACTATTTTATCTACCTTATATACTGTAGCTAAAGTTTCGTTTTTATATATTGTGTGATGTAGAAAAACTTTGACAATAAGTGAAGTTGATGACAGACTGAATATTTTTTAAATTTGTTATCGATTATCAATGTTTTCTTAAATCAGTGTTTACACTGTTATATACTGATTACTCATTTTATTTATATAGTCTAGACAGGCGCAGATAATTAAATATATTGACGTATTATATGATAATAAGAAAATTTGATATTTAATAAGCCATTAGATTTAATAAGCGGTAGTTTATCAAATCCTTCCGCTATATTAAATCAAGAAGAATCTGTTAGAGAAAATGTGACGAATTATAATTAGCGTATTATTTAGACAAATGTTGGTACATGACTAGACTTATCGTTACCACGATATCCGCAGACATTTTCGATTTTGCTTCTGACTCAGCAAGAAACCGGCCTGTCACGTACACGCGCCAGGAATGAGACGCGCTTTATGTTGTTTTCGAGATGTTCCAACTATTCAGAGAGTACAACAACAGGGAGGGAACTGTGCGGAAACTTACAATTGAAAAAGTTGGGCAAATTAAGACCACCCGTTCGGCGCCACCCGATATGGAAGCGTTATTGAAATTTCATTCGTCACGCGACTATACCGATATATTTTCCACGTATCTACGAAATATCGTTCTGAAAAATATTTTTCAGGGTTTCTCTACGAAATATCCGTTTTTATCGGCGAGGTTAAGCGTGTCCAGCATTAAACGTTTCCTGTTTAGACGTGATGTCTGCGAGTGGTACATGTACCAAATGGATACACGGATGTCAGGTACGTGGATTCAGTAAAACCAGGCGATTTATAGTAACGTGTTCTTATCCTCTTTCGTCTCTTCCCCGCGATTAGAGAAGTTCTGGTTATGTTTAATGGGAAAAATGTAAATGTTTCCGATAAAGTTTATGATCCCAGATAGAAATCACCACGCCTTAAATTATCTACGTTTGACAGTCCATATTGCGTAAGAATTTTCATTTCATTAAGAATTTTGTAGTATATATGTCACATAAAAATTAAATTTGATTTTGACACTTATAAATCTTTTAAATAGTTATTTTATTGTTTATATTTACTGACATATTTATTGTTTTAGAAAACAACACTGTTGCGTTAAGTCGCATATAAAAATCGTACACCGTCTTTTCAGTCTAAAAAGTTTCAGTACATTTTATAACATATTTTAATTTTATTGTTTAGATTATGATACAAAGCTTGAAATTAATGTTGTGTGTGTTGGAAAACACTGTAAGTTTATTAGCAAAAGTAATATGGTGTAAAGATCACTGAAGATCCAATCGCGAAGCGGCGTGTATTACAACCGAGCGATCTTCACGTAAAGTGTAATTCTCGTACGATTTAAGCGTACTCGAAAATGCGGCGAGAAGAGCTTACGGTCGAGGCATCGGGTAGCAAGATGGAAGCGTTTTATCGGCCGTTTCTTAGGCTCGCTTTGATGTTACGCCGAGACAAGTCCGTTTATCGAGGTGGATCCTTGAAGAGGTAAGCGCGCGTTTCAGCCCGACGGAAAGTGCTTGTGAATCGGGTTTCCAGTGCATTTAGTGGACCGACCGTATTATGGAGAATGCCGAATAGATTTTCGCATCTCATACCGCGTTTTGATGGCGTTAATTTATGAAATTCACCTCCGCCGCGTTTCTATGACCGGTATTCATAGTCGATTCTTATCTCTTTGAGACTGTCAAGTACAGTACTTATAAGACGTCGTAAGTTAATCAGAGACCGGTATTCATAGTCAGTTCTTATTTCAAGTAACGTCTTAAGATGCTAATACAGCCCTTTGATTCGTTCGTGACATCTTATGACTGTACTTAAGACTGTCTCAAATACAAGACTCGGCCAGAGGGCTGTATCAGCATCTTAAGACGGCATTACTTAAAACGATCTTAAAATAAGAATAGACTAAGGCGAATGAATACCGCCAAGGCGCCCAATAAGTCTCGTACTGCGTAATCGGCCTCGCGTCGCGTGCGGAGTAATTGTGCGAATCTTCCGCGAAATACCGTTACGGCGTCGATAAACGATAAATCCTCAGACGCAGCCCCGGGTAATCGTCGCTAGTGTTTTTCTCACGTATCAGACTAGTTCCAGCATCCTCGCTTGTGCTGCGCGCCGTATATCGTAAACCGTTACTATATCTCCGAGGCTTTCTTATCGCGTTATTGTTACTTCGAACTACCGGGTGAGTAGGGTAACTTTGGCTCGATACAGTTTGCTCTGAACTTGTATACGTGGGTCAGGAAAAGGACGAGTTTTAACTATAACTGTGTGGAAGGGAAACTGTGTTATTAATGTCTGACTAAACGTGGTTTTTATAGTTGAAAGAAATTTATTGTGTTGTACACACCGTGTACTTTTCTGGACATTGTTTTTTATATCGCTTTTTATATTTTATAGGAAACGTTTTAGGAAAAGTATTTTGTAAGAAGTTTTATTTTGTATTTTATAACAAAGATTATCACTCTTTTCATCATACATTGTGTTTTGAATCGTTTTATAAACACAGTAACGCACGATTCTCTCGCCTAATTTCAAGCGCTAGAATAGCATATATTTATATAATATATTTGATAGTTAAGTTTAATGTTTTGATCACGAAACGTATACGTGATTCAAGTACGGTCTCTAGCCAACATACTAAACTTTTCCAAGATAAATTTCTTTGGGTATCGTAGAGTTCGTTTTTCTATCTATCTCCCATCAGTCGTGTCTAATAGTTTCATCGCTTTCTTCGTATCGTTTGCGAATGTATTCGAAAGCAATTCGATCTGAGCAGAGGGTAACTACTGTGTAACATTCCAAACGAGGATAATCTCTCTTATCCAGACAAATCCTTCGGAAAAGAGTCACTTACGGATATTGCCCGCGACAGTTCCAATGGGATTGGTCAACAGAGGCCTCTGGACAAGATCCTCCTCGAGATGAGCACGACTCGGTCGGGCCTGCTTTCTCCGTGACATCCCTCCGACTCGGTTGAAATCAGTTCGCCGCACTCCTCGTCGCTCTCGCACTCTGTCGAAGAGACAGTCGTCGTTCGCCGACGCGACGGTTTGGATCGGGTCGGTTGGAACGACCGCCGTTGCACTCGTTCTTGTGGATCCTCCTCTTTCTCTTCCTCCTCCTCCTCCGCCTCCTCCTCCTCCTTCTCGGAATCCCGACGAAAAACAGACGGATGCGTGGTCAGTCTAGACGTCGCCGACGGGACAACGGCGGTTGACGACGTCGTTGCAGCGTCGAGGATGCGAACCGCATGTCTCCCTCTTGTCTCTTTCCTTCTTCGTCTATCCCTATTTTAATTCTGTGCGACAACCGGAGCCGAGAAAAACCCAACGATCGTTATTCGCGTATCTCACCATCGGCACTAACTATCTAGGGGAGACGCATCTCCCCACGAACCGTAGCGACGCACTTCGCGAAACGTTTCATACATGGATCGTCGCCAAAGGAGAGTTACTCCTCGCCCGCCGGCCGGTGAGCGTGTCAACTCGGCCAGTAATCCATAGAGGCTAACGCACCGATCCCCTAACCCATCCCCCACCAAATGCGCGCGGACGGGTAGCGATTTTTTTTCCTGCAAAATCCTGCCGAAGGAACCTGGAGTTGATGACGTTTCGCGCACCGAGATAGTGACTCTTGTCTCACTGACGATACCTGGATGCTTCTCCAGGCGATTCGCACGTGGCCAAAATCCTCCCTTTCTCTCGTTGTTCCGAAAAGTCCTTCGCTGCTTCGAAACGAATCGTCGTCCCACAGTTGGCCACTGTCTGCCTGGCTGGATGCTTTATCTCCTGCAGTTTTCGCGTACGAATCGCGACCACGCGATCGCTCACTACACACACTCGGTACTCACGTTATTATCGCTCGTCCGGCGTATCGCGACTGTTTGACAACGTGAGACCGGCGGCATTCCTGGCAAGCAGGTAGATGCTCGAGTTCGACCGTAATAATGCGTAACCGGGAAACAAGAGAGCGTACGCGCGTATGATACGTGGTGTACGTATGCACGATGTGTGTCCTATACACCACTGCTCACCCGGTACGCCGATATTACACGTGTGCGGTGACCGGCTCGGTTAACGACGGACTCGCGAGCGCGCGCGCGCGCGCGGACACACGAGCGTGGATACGTACACAGGGTGCGTTGTGTATGTGTGTATGCGTGCGTGTGCGTGTGTGTGTATGTGTGTGCGTGTGTGTGTGTGATCGCGTACGTGTACGCGTGCGTGTTTATGAGTCTATATCTCGCGCGAAATCCGCTGCTCTGAAACTTCAAGTCGGCCGGACGACGGACGAACCAGCTCTGGGCCTGACAACCAAACGCCCCTCTCCGCCGCCGGCGAGACACGAGCGCTGGTAGGGATAGAGGAGATATACCCTGCGCGCGCTTTCGCCCCCACCGTGGCAGTGCAAGCACCGTCGCTCTCCCCGCCATGGCTGGCTGTCCATCCGCTCCCTACTCCCGTCGCGCGCGACCCCACTCCCGCGACGTCGGGTGCGCAACCTCCTTCGTGATGCGCCCTTCTCCATGCGCCGCGCGCCGCGTCGCGTCGCGAATGTAGGGAGATCCACCCTTGGTGCACGAGAGCAAGTCGATCTCCACGCGTATTGTCGCACCGGGTTAACGCATGCACTTCCGCGCGATCGTTCCCGCGTGTATTAAATAACAAGTATCTTTTTAAAAGATGGAAACCCGGTCGATCTGGTTCGCCGATATATCGGTCCTCGCAGGTGTCTACGTGGTACGAGGGCTCAATTTTGGACGGCTTGTACCTAGATGAGTAGAGAGAGAAAAGGTAAGATGCGTTTTTCTGTCACGCGTCTTTTTCTCTGACCGACTTCTTGTCGATTTCGCGACCGCGACTCCAGGATCATAAGGGCCGCTCACTCGCGCGGCGAAGCGTGATCGAATGAGCCCTCGAAAGGGACGCGCGAGAGAAGAATCCTTTCGCGGGCTCTCTCCGCGCCTCGTTCGCTCCACCGTTGTGTATTCACTTCCCCTCGCTCCGATTCTCGTCCTCCTCTACCTGCACGATCCGTCTTTCTCTCGTGTCTTATTCCCCTTCCGGCGGATGCTCGATATCCCCACCGTTTGGCCGCGGGACCGCGAGGCGTGGCCTGTCCCGGAGGAGTGCCCGCCTCCTTATGCATTATTATAGCGAGCCACTCGTGTCTCTATG